CTAATCCAAAAAAAAGGAAGAATTACACAAACCTCAGAAATGTTTAATAATATCAAATCTCCATTTAATTCTAGAGTTCGCTTCAGGAATCCCCAAGCTTTTTCTCACATGCATATTTTTTATGGTAGGATATACGCTTTCCTTCATAATACAATTCACTTTATACTGTAATAGTAGTCAGAAGGTTCTGAACAGTTCTGGAGAACCGGTAGTGGAAATTTTGAGTAGTTCGGAGATCCAGTAAATACCACCTCTGACTGGCCCCACCCCCATCTATTCTCTGCCTCCCAAGTCCCAGCTGATCGGGAATTAATGGGGATTTTGCAGTAACCTTCCCCTGGAGTGGGGAGGGAATGGAAATTTTACAATATCCCTCCCCTGCCATGCCCATGAAGGCATACCCACAGAACCGGCAGTAAAAAAATTTGAATCCCAACACTGTACTATAGGAATAACCAACAATTTCTTATTTTAGTGGGAAGCCACTTGGTGCTCTTTTTCCCTTTGTATTATACATCTAGTAATTCATGCATGTTCTTTGTTCAGAATAAGTAATACACAGAAATTATATTGTTTCATTTTCAACACTAGTCCCACAAACCTTCTCCTAGCAGGCTAATGACATTTTGCACTCAATTAGTCAAAGAACTGACTAACCATGACATTTTTAAAATAGCAATCAATAATTAAAACAAGCAATTACATTCAAAAAGCCAACAGCTGCATTACATTAATAGAAAAAGAACAAAGTACAGAACATTTGATCTGTTAATTTTTTAAAATTCTGTTGGTGGAATTCAGCTGTTTGAAATAGTAAAGTTTCTACAAATGGCAAACAAATGAGTGAAGTCTCTCAAGTTGAGTTCAACATTTAATGACCTTTTCTAAAATATTAATATGATAAATGCACATGAGCAGCATGCATATTACATAATTGCTTTCCTTAAAAAGAATCCATAGGCATACAATACAATAGCGTCAGAAAAAAAATGTCCCTATAACAAGAAAGGAGAGGAGACTAAATTTCTTGGCGGCAGTCTGGAATTCCTTGCAGTACTCAACATGACATGTTCGGATGCAATATAGAATATGTTTCCAAATAGATTCCTCATAAAACTAGAAGAAAAATGAATGCAATCCACCTACTGGATTCAAATATATAAGCTAGGCTCCAGGTTAAAAAGGTTGATTTTTGTCCACAACTGCTTCCAAAGCAAAACAGAAGGTATATTTTTTTGTTAAACTATAGAACTATTTTGTTCAACTATAAGAACTATAACCCCTCTACCTTCATCACCTTTCTGAGATGACTTGGCCCCTGGGGGCTTCCTGGCAGGTAGAATTCTGAACTATAACAAGAAGTATCAAAATGAGATGCAAACTAAGAAGGCTAAGAACAGGCTACTTACCTTAGCCCAAGCGATTTCAGTGTCCAGATCAGAAAGTGTACGTTCTGAAGTGGACTTATGCACTAGTTCAGTTTCTGTCACCTCCAACCATTCGGATAAGGAGAGGGAAACTTCATTGAATTTGCATGAGAGTTGCAATGCCTGTTCTAGATCTTGCTTCCCTTCTGTCACCTATTTTGTATTGTTTTATTAAAAAAGCATATAAAAGAGTGAGCATCAAGAACAAACAATTAAGAAAACTTATTTGATCAACATTATGTGTGGGTCACACAGTGAGCAGATGTTTAGATGGGATCTGGCATTTTTCTTTATCTATCAAGTCCTTCCCAAGGACCTGGCATAGAGAGATGTTGCTGTTTAATGGTGTTAATGATACCTTCATAAGATGTATGAAGATGACTGATGGTAATTTTGTCAATACTGATTTTCAAGCGGTGTTCCAGATTTTTGGAATTGAACTCAAAGCACCTTTAAATTTAGTATTACTCCATAACCTCTATTTTGGCTATGGTTACTTGTCTCTAAAAAGAATTTGTCCTCATCAGTCAACTACATCTATGAAGGAAAATGGATAAGGAAAAGGCATTCAATGACAATTCTACAAGATAGATGGACTCATGAAGGAAAAGATGATCTGTCAAGAAACCACCTCTTAGATCATTTATTTTATTTTACAAAAATAAAATTGTTTTCTTTTTATCAATTCTAAAAACAGAGCAGAGTTACTCTAGATAAGCCTGGATTATACGACTTTTGAGCACATGTGCTAAAACCCTCCCCCCAAAATAAGCCTCCCTGAAAATATTTCAACACAGTAGCAGCCATGAGGTAACCACACTCGCCACCTCCTGTACCTCAAAAATAATAAGACCTCCCCGAAAATAAGGCCAAGCACTTATTTTGTGGGTCAAAAGAAAATAAAACCTTGTCTTATTTTCAGGGAAATACGGTATTATTGATGTGGAAATTCATATATTTTCATCTCCTATTTAAAACATTACAGATTCTCATTGGAGATTTAACTTTGAATAGTAAGTAAATCATCCAAATCACTCAGGGTCTAAAGACGCAGCATGGCCTTCTCAAATTCGAAGAGACACTTGTTCAGCAGGCTGAGGCAAAGAGGCAGTCCTGGAACCAGCGAAATCTGGGGGCTGGACAGGGGACAGAATGCATCTGCCCTCAGTGTGGAAGGGATTGCCACTCCCGAATTGGCCTTTTTAACCACACCAGATACTGTTTTTAGGACCACTTTCCAGAGCATGATACCATAATCTTTTGAGACTGAAGGATACCAATGTATCCAAAGCCAGTCTGGTTCATATAATATTTAATGAAATGCTTGATATTCACCTCAAGTGCATTTTACACAGTGAAACAAAACTATACATATGAAAGACTAACCTGTGCTCCCAAATCATTATAAAGGAATTTCAGTGCTGTCAGTTGTTCATCCATGCTTTTGGGATTGTCTGTCTGTTGTTTCTGTACAATCTGCCTTCCTGTTTTGATCACTGTCTCCACTTCGAGTTTTACTTCACTCAGGGTCTTATAGAGTTTCTAGAATCAGGACACCATATAGTTTTATTATACTATATTAAAATATATTATAATATTTCAACTTCCTGGTTTAATTTTACTTTTCAATAACCATCAGAATTGAACCCCATTATCATCTTTGATGATCATCTATCATCAAAGCCCGTAACCCGACAAATGCGCGCACAATAGCGCGCCGACAAAACTGCGGTGAGAAAACCGCGATGTCATAAACACGCCCACAACAACGCGCTGACAAAACCGCGCCCACAAAAGCGTGGTTTAGGTTAAGGTAAGGGTTAGGGTTAGGGTTAGGGTTAGGGTTATTACGTTGTTTTCATTGTTTTTTGATGGCACGCTTTCATCAGTGCGCATTTGTCGGCGCAATTTCAACCTCGTGGTTTTCTCGCTGTGGTTTTGTCGCCGTGCTTTTGTCGAGCGCGCATTTGTCAGTGAACCATCAAAGCCACACCCCATGGTGCCCAGTTTGCTACAGTCAAGGACAAATATTAACTAAAACTAGATTCAAATTAGTCAGTAACCCATTTTGAGCAATGGTTTCTGTTTAGAAAATAAATCACAAAAATGCCCCCAACATCATAGCAAATAGAAATTACCATGAAGAATGAACAGGAGATCGTATGGCAGTTTAGAGCAAAAAAGAAGAGGAAAGAGGGAAAATAACATCCAAGTTCCCAGCATGTTTAAAGACTGGTAATCATGTCTGAATACAGCCCAAGTGCAATGAAATAACTCCAAATTTTTTTTAAAAAAATGTACACTGCTTTGTTCACATTGTTAAGATTTTGCTCATTTTTTTATGACTTAGACTGATCACACTTTAATGGGAGATTTCATTTTTGCAGTACAGATGTTTTAGACGAGGGAATAGAAGAGGAACTCATCAAAGCTGCAGATGACACCAAGTTGGCAGGAATACCAACAGCCCAGAAGATAGGATCAAGATACAGATATATCTCAACCGACTTGAACACTGGGCCCTATCTAACAAAATGAAATTCAATGGAGAGAAAATGTATATGGAGATTCTCAGTTATCAAATTCATGGTTGTCCCAAAGGTGCTTTTTTCAAGAGACTTTGTGGTTTGGTTTTGCTTTTCATCCAAGAAGCTTCTTCAGCTCTGACTGGGTGGTGAGGAATCCCCACCAGAGCTGAAAAAGCTTCTTGGATGAGAAGCAATGAGAAGCAAAACATCTTCAAATAAAAACCAGAAAATACAGTTGCCTCTTGAAAAAAGCACCTTTGGGACAATGGAAAGAAAAGTAAGGTTGTACATTTAGACAAGAAAAATCAAACACACAGGTGCAGATCAGGTGAAACTTGGCTCAATAACAATAACTGTGAGAGGGATCTTGGAGTCCTAGTGGACAATCACTTAAATATGAGCCAGTAGTATGCTACAGCTGCCAAAAAAACCAATGCAATCCTAGGCTGCATTAACAGAGGGATAGAATCAAGATCATTTGAAATGGTAGTACTGCACTAAAAGGCCTTGATAAGACCACACTTGGAACACTGCATCCAATTTTGGTCACCACAATATAAAAAAGATGTTGAGACTCTGGAAAGAGTGCAGAGAAGAAGAACAAAGATGATTAGGAAGCTGGAGGCCAAAACATATGAACAGTTGCAGGAACTGGATATACAGTATCTCGTCTAGTGAAAAGAAGGATTAGGAGCAACGTGGTATCAGTATTCTAATACTGTATTTGAGGAAATACCACAAAGAAGAAGGGGTCAACCTATTTTCCAAAGGACAAGAAGGCAAGACAAGAAGCAATTGATGGAAACTAACCAAGGTGAGAAGCAACCTAGAACTAAGGAGAAAGTTCCTGACAATGAGAACAAGCTTGCCTTCAGATACTGTGGGTGCTCCATCACTGGAGCCTTTTAAAAAAAGACTAGACACCATTTGTCTGAAGTTGTATAAGGTCTCCTGCNAGGTAGTTCTCGACTTATGACCATGATTGAGGCCAAAATTTCTGTTAAGTGAGACATTTGTTAAGTGAGTTTTGTCCAATTTTATAACCTTTCTTACCACAGTTGTTAAGTGAATCATTGTAGACATTTAAAACACGGTTGTTAAGTGATTCTGGCTTCCCCATTGGCTTCGTTTTTCAGAAGGCCATAAAAGGGACTGTCTCTTGCCAGTCACATCTACCCAATCCATTAGAGTGGGAAGGCAGGGAACGTTGTGGGTCCCACCCCCGAGGGCGATACACCTGGCGGGACCCAGAAGGGCCTTCTCCATGGTGGCTCCCTCTCTCTGGAACATCTTTCCCCCCAGAGATTGGAATGGCCTCCACTCATTCTTCCGGAAGGTGCTGAAGACCTGATACTGTCAGTGACCCTGGGAAACCCAGAATGGTATGGAGCCCATTAAATGGCTCATGTGATCGGCTGTCACTGGGGCAGGACATGGGGGGTGTGTGATTTTTTACATTAATTAATATATTTGATTTTTTAAATTCGTTTTACTGTTTTTAGATGTGGTTTTTATATTCTGTAAGCTGCCTTGAGTGGCCATGGGCGAATAGGCGGCAATATAAATTTAATAATTAATAAATAAGGTGATCACATGACCCCAGGACATTGCAATCATCGTAAATATGAACCTGTTGCCAAGCATCTAAATATTGATCATGTGATAGTGGGAATGCCGCAACAATCATAAATGTGAAAAATGGTCATGAGTCACTTTTTTAAGTTGCTGTTGTAAAGTTGAATGGTCACTAAAGGATTTGTTGTACGTTGAGGACTATCTGTAGATGTAGCACAAAAGGAGACACATTGCAAATTTTGCCAAGGACTCCGAATGATGAGAAAGCATTTGAAAAAGGATGAGCTTCCAAATGCATGATTTCAAGTATGACATGACTATACATTTTATCATAATCAAACAAGACAAATCCCTTGCACATGTAGAACTGAATGTATAAAGTCATCAGGAAGACCGCAATGGTGAAACAGCTGATACAAGCAAGATCAATATTTATTTCATGCAGCAAGTGAATTACAATGTCATCAATAGACCTCTAGGTCACAGGATTCCAGATTAAAAAAAGCATGCCTGGGAATTAAAAGATGGCGGTGGGGGGTGGGGGGGAGAGAAAGAAAAATCAAAGATGAGTATGATAATTTTGTTGTAACATGAAGTTCTCCAACCTTTTCATCATCTTCTTTTGATTCCATGTGCTTTTCCACTACATTCAGCATTTCCTTTATCTCGCATTCAAATTTATCAAGGTCTTTAGAAGCCACTGCAATTCCACAGAGTTCCTGCTTAGCAAACCTTTTATGAGTGTCCTGACTGAACAGCATCTGGCACACACAAAAATAGCAAGCACACTGATCAATAGTCATATTTGTATACATTTCACATAACTGCAACAGTATACTTGTAAGTGAGTAAATAACCTTCTAGAATTTCTCATTCCCAAAACGAACACTAAGAAATTATCTTTTGCAGATAGCTTGTAGGTTAGTGCAGAAACAGAATTACATGTAAAATAAAATGATTTTTTCCAAAAACCCCAGAATATATTAGTTTACGTGCTTTTGACGGATGAGAAAAGAAAAGAGAATATTTTGGAGTAGCATGTCATTTTAACATTTTAAAAATCAAATAATTATCTTCTTTCTTTTTCGTGTTTAAAAAGTATTGGTGTAGAAGTATTGCTGTCCCACTCAAAGTAGGGCAGAACTAATACAGGTAGTCCTTGTTTAGCAACTGCTTCATACAATATTTTTTCACAGTTATAACAGTTTTGAAAAAAGTAACTAGTGTCTAACTCTCGCATTTACAGCTTTCACAGGTCCATAAAGCAAAGGAAAGCTGAAGTATTGTGCTGTTTCATTTAGAGACTGCTTTGCCGAACCACGAAACTAGCTTATCCCAATGCAGTTGCTAAAGAAGGACTATCTGCATATTTTTGTCCTTGTGCCACCATGTGCAGAAGGAGATAATCTCCTAAATAATGCAAAAATGCAATGAAATATTAGAAAACAGTTCTTTGACAAAATGCAATGCCATAGCATGCATTTCACAGAAACATTAGAGAAGTAAAAAAAACAGCAACATAAATGTAAAAATAGGCCATGAGATACACTTTGGGACCAGGAAGTCTTCTGTACTCACCTTAGCACTTCTGATGTGCTGTGACACTTTTTCAAAGTTCCTATTCAGTTCTGTCAATTTGGGTTCTACAAGCTCATGACATGATACGCCCCGACTGCTCATCAGCATAACAGCTTGGTCACGCACATTATCAACTCTGAGACTAACAGCATCCAATTCTGATGTTAGGCGCTGTGAATGGGGGGAAAAATAGGGTTATTGTTTAGACCACAGTAGGATTAAAAATGGAAAGAAGGGAAACAAGACAGAAATCAAAATCAGAACCTGGCAGACTTTCATCTGGATCCAAAATATGCTATTATCGTGTCAGTAAAAATTCAATTTTCCTACCTTCACTGTCTCTTCTTTCTTGTTGGCAGGCTTTTTCTCAATCTCATCCAACAGAGCTTCAGCTTGATACAGCCAAGTGCTTATGTGGGCAACGTTCTCATCAAAAATCTCCAGTTGACTTTGGTGATTCTGTAAAGGAAAGACAAAGATAAATCAATGAAAACGTACCTTAAATAAAATGGAACTTTTTAAATAGAAAACATTCACAGTGATCAGTCAATGACACTTTCATTTGGTATTTCAGCTCCTTTAATGCCAAGACCTAATAATAATTTGGTATTTATTTGTTATAATTTTAGTGACTAGATTTATATCTTATTTTTTCTCTGTTTCTATATTTTTTCTTCTTTCTATAAGATGACATATTATATTCTGTATTCCTTCCAGAGAATTTTTTACAGCAAAAGTTCCAACACTGCATACACACATGCACANACAACGCTTCTCTGAACGTACCCGCTCTCCCAACGGGGAGCTTACCTAACAGTGTTTTTTATTGATGAGACTCTATATAAAATGTGCTATTAAATTGGAGAATAAAATGATGCTCTTAAAACTTATGCAACTCTGATAATAGGAGTGAAAACCACATTCTTTTGGTTCTTTTATCTCAAGGCACAAAGTCTCTTCCTTTCATTCATGTTTTCTACCACTGCTGTGCTGTGAATGTCAACTGTCAGGCTACTGGAAAGTTCACTACCATGGAGTTAAAGAAGCAAAGAAAGTTTCATAGAAAGAAATTAAGAAAATTTAGTTATAGCATTATATTACCATGCATTTATCAAAGTGAAACTGAATGGTATCCGGATCAACATCCTTCACATCCAAGATATGGAGTTCAGCTTTTACGCTATCCAGAACTCGTTTACAATCCAACATACGCTGCTCAAAATTCGCTGGTTTCTGGAATAGCTGGTACTTCGTGGATACCTCCCGGAGCTTCCTCTGTTTATGTAAGAAAGCAAAAAATTTGACACATTCGTACACTTAGAATGAAAAATATTTCTACTAACTGTTCTTATTTATAATGTATATCTTACTCTTCTGGTTCAGCATTTCTCTCTTTTTTATGTCATTGTGGATTTCCTCTCCTTGTAACCATGCTTCCCTCTTCTCTAACTAACAAAATAATTTATCTCTAAATCTGAGATCTTCTCTTTTCCACTTAAGCATGACAAAGTCAACTCTTCAAAAACAAGATTTAAAACCCCCCATCAAGCAGTTTTATATAGGCCTATGTTTGGGGACTTCCAAAGGTACAGTGAAGAATTTTCTTCACTTCTGTCAGCCCCAAAGCACAAAAGCAGGCATGGAACACCATGAACTAATCAGTTCTCCCTCTAGCTACCTAATCAGAGAATTCACAAAATGGGATTTAAACACCATCTCATGTCCTGAATTTATAATACTTCCCAGAAAATCAAAAATCTTCTTGCTTGAATGGATTCCTCATCTCTAATTAGTCTTTTTTTCTTCTTCTTCCACCTTTCAAAATTAATGCTATCAAGTTTGCCACTTAATTCTTCATCAACTCCTAACTCAATCCTTCTATCCTGATTTCTATTTGCTATGCTCTGAATATTTCTCACAAAACCAAACTGTTCACCCTATTGTGAAAATATAAATGCCTCTGTCTAGACTCCACTCTTCATAATCTCTGTTTTGAAACAACTGCTTTCCCTTTCCTTCTCTTTAGAGGATTTATTTGGCATCTCTACTAGTTTTCTGTAGTCACTAAGAAGTGCTTCAGGTTCGCCAGCCAAATGCCATAATCTTAGTATTATCTATTCCTCAAACATTTTCTCTGTACTAGCAATGTTAATATCCACCCTGTTCAACAATTGTAACAATTTGCAATAACTGTCCAAGGATCTAAGAAAAGTGTATTATAGCATATTTCACAAATATGAACTTTCATATGTATGCAAAAGTATTATCCTACTTTTACATATATATGCATATGTAAGTCAAAAAAGGGAAAAACGCAACAATTCTGGGAACACTGGAAAACTAATTAGCATTATGGGGAAAACCTTGATTCATATTCAGGTCTTTGATTCTGTAAGTCATACTATCTTTACCTCAATGTGTCTCTTCCTCTACCGAATGATTTCCTTCAATTTTGAATGCCTGAAACTGGCTTTCAAAAGCCTGAATGAGATTACTTCTCAACGTATTAAATCTTGTCATTGAAACAAAAGTCAAATTCTTTTCTAACCTTGTTTTCTTCTGCCCATTTCTCACACTGAGTTGAAACTAAGATTACTTATATAACATTGTATTATTGTTATTGTGTTATTATAATATCATTACCATCAAGATGAAAGCAGTGATGGGGACTTTCAGTTATCATTATGCAATTTAATGAGTATGCAGGATTACACCAGGTGCATGGATGGTGAGCAATGTGGTACCTATTATGCCCCTAGATAATACCACTGTTTCCAAAAATTTAAAATATAATTTAAAATTTCAGAAAACTTATATATCTGCCACCTGAATATGTTTCTGACTGATGGCATATACCACGTAAAATTAATTATAGTAGTTCACCCAAAAACTTCCTAGTGTAAAACTGAAAATTATTCAAAGCATTATAAATCTCTCAGCAGTAAGATGGACCTCTTCTTTCTATAATTTCACCAAGTAAAGAAACATACTCTAACAGACGAATGCAAAATTCTACTATATCAATTAATTATCAAGTCAATTTTAAAAAGTATATAATCTCTGCTTTTCTTTTTGATTGCCATATTTTTCGGAGTATAAGAAACATCTTTTTCCCTCAAAAAAGAGGTTGAAAATCTGGGTATGTCTTATACACTGAATCCATTTTTTGCCTCCCAAAACCCCACCCCCTTCACCAAAATGGTCATGCATAGCCTTTAGGAGCCTTGCAGAGTGCTCCTGGGACTGGGGAGGGCAGAAATGAGTGAAAAATGGGCCATTTTTTGCTCATTTTTGCCTCTCCCCCAGCCCCCAAGAGGCTATTCATGCCCCTTTTTGATAAAAAAAAACAGGTCCATTTTCGTGAAAAAGGGGGCCATTTTTGCTCATTTATGCCCCCCCAATTCCTCAGGAGCACTCTATAAGCCTTCTAAAGGCTATTCATGCCCTTTTTGGGGGGAAAAATAGCTCATTTTTGCAAAAAATGGGCCGTTTTGGGGAGGTCTGCAGAGTGCAAAAACTTTTTTTTTTAATTTGCCTCTTCAAAACCTTGGTGTGTCTTATACTCTGGTNTTTGGATAGAGATAGAGATAGAGATAGAGATAGATACATGGAGAGGGGGGAGCAGGAGGAGGGGATCGTGGCCATATCTTGCATTTAAGGCCCTGAATAACCAGTTTGCATTTACAGCTATTTGTAGTATCCTGCAGTCACATGATTGCAATTTTTTTTTCCAGTTTCCTGCATTTACCTCCAGTTTCTGGCAAAAATGCCTACTGAAAAAAATAGATTCACTTAACTGCTGCTTTTGCTTAACAACTGTTACCAAAAAAAAAAAGTTGTAAAATTGGGCATAGTCACTTGGTGACTCTTGACGATTGCCACAACTTGCTACCATAATTCCAGGCTCAGTTGTGGTCATAAGGCTCAGGGCTATCTATAAGATAATGGCAATGAAGTGAGAGGCACATTCAGAGTTGCAAGACAGATGGCAGTCCTTTAAGGTAGAACAAACTTGAACATCTAACTCATGAATACTAAAAATACTTTGTGTCAGCCCCGGCACGCTCAGCGGCTCGGGACTGCCATTCTATTGGTGGGGAGATTCATGGCTGGGATGTTTCGTGACTTGGATTGCTGCTATCAATTAGGGCATCTTTCGGAAACCTGATACCACACTTGTTTCCCTGCCATGCCAAGGGCTTGAAGGACCTTCAGATCCTGCAGTGACTTTCATATGGAACGGCACCAGTGCAGGCATGGCAATGTAAACCAGCATGGTCAGTCACGTCATCGGAGTATCTTGGGTGTATTGCACACGCATAGGAGAGGGCGGGCTACAGGAGGGTGGGGCACAGGAGAGTTTAAATGGTGGAGGGAAGTACAGAATTACAGGCTTGACTTTAATTCACTCATGTTGTGCACCGTGTGATTGTTGGAAGTATGAGAACAGGCTTATAAAGATTACATTTACCATGAACTACTTGCTTAGACATCTTGTTTGTTTTCTTTGCCTGAACGGAACCTGATACTTTGACTATAGGGTTACAGTAATAAAATCTTGCTTCCCTGAATGTTACTCTCTTCTCCCTGCCCTGAACTATGGATGGTCAAGTCTGAAACACTTTCTCAAATTCTCTTCCAGCTCTTATTTGTCCATTTGCCTTGGCTCAGTGGTGAGTTCCGGATCCCATTGCAACCGGTACGGTGCGATCGGGCCCGGTGGCCACCACATGAACGTGGGCAGCGTGCACATGCGTCCTTACCTCCTGTGATTCCTCTGTGATGCTCCAGCTGCTTGGCGGAGCATCACACAGGCGCTGTACGTTGCGCACGCATGCACAGAAGGCCCATTTCCTTCAAATACAGGTAAGGAACAAGGATGGGTGGGTGGGCCCTCCAGAGCACCATACCAAAACAGTACCCATACTGAGGTGTACCGCCTGCAACCCACCACTGCTTTGGCTGCAGCTCTTCATCCTCTTCTTCAAGATTATTTTCAGAGCCCATTACATCCATTTCTGTTTTTTAAGTTTTGTAAAAGCAATTGTTATTATGAATAGTGATTGCACAGATAATTATGGCTACACTTTATTTAAATAAATTTCAAAGAATATTTTGATGAGTCTTCTTATGTAATAATTACTTTTAAAGTATTTATTCTTGGGCTAAAGCTTCAAAGAAAAGATTCTGATACTTCTTGGGCATGAAGTAAGAAGTAAAACTCTCAAATTGTTCAATACATTTTACTATTTCGGAAAAAGCTGTCAAGTTCTTCACCATCTGCTACATTTTTCCATTTAATAGGTCAGCCTTCCCCAACTAAATAGTCTCTAAAGATATTGTCCTAGCTTGCCTGGCCATAGAACATTCAAATTTAACATATCTTGGAGATGTTCAATTGAGTAAGGCCGTTCTCTCCTTATAGGAAACTTGACATTTGCAAACATTTTCTACTTCAAGGGTAATAAGACCCCCATCAAAGCATATTATCCTATCCAAAGCCATACAGATAACAAATTCTGCAAATGTCAAAATTTGTCATTTGCAGTTTCAGCTTACCAGAAGTGTATTGCACCAATCTTCGGTCCAGGTTCGGACTCTACTCCATCCAGCATTAAGAACACAGAGTTTTTCCTCCAGAGAAGTTTCACTTTCATCCACTAAGGCCTGCAGTGCAGCACTGCTTTCTGTTACACTATTCAAATCGACTTTCTTCCTCTCCAATTCTCTCAGCACATTCTGGAAGACAACAGGGACCATTAACAGAACAGAAGAAAGTTTCTCAAGATGACAGAAACAAAAAAAATAGTATTGATTTGGTTTCTCTCTTGATCAGTTTTCCCAATGATTGACATATCACTGCAATGAAATATTTGATACCGAAAGGAATCCAATTATATGATATGATATATGATACCTAAAGGATTCCAAAGCAAGGGATCTTCTAAAATTCAAGGTATCTTAGTAGTCATAGAATAAAAAAAATTCAAAGAAATGGTAGCTTCAGTAACTGGTAAATGTTTTAATGTGCTCTATTCTTTGTTTTAATTACATTCTGTAACTGATTTTGCAAAATCTGTTATGATATGTTAAATCGATGCAAATTGCAGTTATATGCAATCTGATAATAAAGTACATTTATTTCACAAACCTTTTGCAAATTTGGGGAACTACATATCTTTCAAGGGGAAACATTAAGATTGCTTTTGGGGAATATGTTTTTCATAAATTGCAAAAATGTTTTTAATATTTTTACTATACCTTAAATGTTCCTACAGTAGTTTAAGTAGCTGTTTACTAATAAATAAGTCTCACTTTCTTAAATGGTTCTAATTTTAACTGAGAAAGATGTATGCAATGAGTAATCTAATGCAATAGCAAACTATAGATTGCCCATATAGATTTTCGCTTCCTCCTCTGTTATTTAGGATGTAGAAATTCTGGACCTATTTAACAGCAAGTAAATGTCCAGCAAATTATGATTTGAAACTATCACTTTCTTGTAAACCAAGCTCACACTACAGCCTAAACACTGTTTTGAAAACAAAGTAAGTGTTCCACAGAATATAATTTCTGTCATATTTGAAAAATGTGGACATGGTTTGTTGCTTAAGGTTTCCAATGCTAATCCAAAAAAAAGGAAGAATTACACAAACCTCAGAAATGTTTAATAATATCAAATCTCCATTTAATTCTAGAGTTCGCTTCAGGAATCCCCAAGCTTTTTCTCACATGCATATTTTTTATGGTAGGATATACGCTTTCCTTCATAATACAATTCACTTTATACTGTAATAGTAGTCAGAAGGTTCTGAACAGTTCTGGAGAACCGGTAGTGGAAATTTTGAGTAGTTCGGAGANAAGGAAAGGAAAGGAAAGGAAAGGAAAGGAAAGGAAAGGAAAGGAAAGGAAAGGAATACCTGTGCCTCTTGAGGCATTTGGAAGGCATCTATTCTATTGGTCAAATAGGATGTTAGCTGCCTATCCAAATCCTTCAAGCTTTCCTGAAGAACCTGCAACATGTGCTCAGTTTCTCGCATCATCTGAAGTTGTTGCTCCAAAGAAATCTGTTTACTGACTGCCTAAGGAGAGACAAAGAAATATGTTGCCTGAGAACTTTAGAACTTGTATATAAACCTAAATATAAATACAAAAATAGTAAATCAGAACTGCTTGCATTATATTACACATAATTCAGAGATTCCTAGCATGGCAAACTAAATCAGAAACACTGACTTCAGCATTTGCCTTTGTTATCAAAACTAATGGAAGTTTCCAGAGGACATATTAATACCATTGACATCATAATGGGATCCATCAATTCGCAACAATGGTTTCAAAACGACTATCAATTCAGCTTTTTGTCCCTTGCAAGATCCTCTGTCCTGTATTTTCCAAGGCCAAAAAGGAGTTCTCATTCCAAGACAGCAGGCAAACTTTTAAAACTACTACAGCTTTACTCCATATTCTGTAATCTGAATCATATAAATCTGCTCATTATACTTCAACCTTTTTTAAAATATAAAATCAGATGTTCAGTCATTTTACACATTTTTCTGGGATGGGGCTTTGTTGGTAGAGATCATTTACCTCATTTATATCATAAATTGATTTAAATCATTTCCAAATTGTTATTTTTTTTCCCTTTTTGTTTGTTTGAGAAATGTAACCCCATGACCTGGCATCATAATTCTGCTTCTTGCCTATACAAAAATATAGGATCCTTTAAGCTGAATCTGGATCTGTACACTTTCAATCAAGAATTCACTCAGCCATCCAGTTTATGGTAATTTAGCAATTTAATAAATTTGTATGCCGCCCAATCCCGCAGGACTCTGGGCGGCTTACAGCAAGATAAAAATAAGAATTAAAAAATAACATGAGATATAATTTAAAAAAAACACACACCATACATTCCATTTAAGTGGGGCTGGACCTTGTTCAACAGCCCCAGGCCTGCCG